ATCCTGCAGCGAAATATTCCAAAGCCCTAAAGGTCAACACACGGTAGCTTCATACTGTAGACAGTGCGTGTAATCTTCATCCAAAAGGCACGTTCCGAACCAGTGAGTAGATGTAAAAGCCCTAGTGCTAAAGTTTAATCGAAACAATGTCTTTGTCTCTGGGCCATTTACACTAAACTTTATTATTTTCTCGTGATCGTAGTAAACAGTATCAATATATTTTGATAGTACAAAAATAGATGTTATTGAAAGAACTCTGAGAATCGTGTGCTATTATGTTGCAGATATATTTAAAGTATTTTATAAAAAAAAAACAATTGAAAGTTATAAAAATATTCAATAGCCAATTTCATTTTCATTTTCATTTCAATTCAATACCACAACATTTGTGGAAATCCCAAAAGTGTTCACACTGAAAGAATGGGACGTGCCAACAATAGCGTAATTGAGTATTGTTATGTGTTCGTTTGTGATATGGTTTCCAAATCCCGGGACTCGAACGCACGGGGCCGAGACAAACGCTTTTCATGTCCGATTGTGACTACAAATAGTTCAGAAGACCCGCGCAAGTGTCAACAATATTTCAATCTTCATTTCATCCCTTTTGGTCACACATCAAATCTGAATGTGGAAGTTCGTAATATAATTTTGTCGGAGGAACCTTTACACGTTGGACAATTCCTCCCTTTCTGAGATGCGATAGGGGAAGGAGTGACTTAATATAGACGTTCACTTATACGTAAATTTGAATATAACGCTGTAACTTAACAACAAAGGCGTTAAAAGTTTCTATGAAAAAAACTTGAGATGATTTTAAAAGGTGTTAATAGGTATACTGTAAAATTGCCACATTTTGTTATTAATAAAAAAACATTCGATGATTGCCATGTTTGTAGAAAACCAAGGATACAAACATCTCCGATTTAATCCTTTTGGAAAATAGATTCCAGTGAACATTTTGACTCAACTATCAATAGCGCTTTCACAAAGGATTCACTTACCCAAAATGATCAGATATTTTATTTAGATTCATCAAGTCAATATTCACTTAGATTTAGAGCTAAGTATGGTAATTATCTTGATGAAGATGCTTTGATGCTATTATCAGTGAACCGTGATCGGTTGTATTAATAAGACAATAGCAATGTCCATCAGTGCGTCGCACGCCGACCTGACATTCTGCCTGCAATCACTGATATCTTAGCCGACAGAATCGGCGGATTGAATTGGATAACATGATCACACTTACTAATTACCGTAGTATTAATTAGCCTGACGTACGTAACACAATATGTCTTATCATGTTAAATTGCTCACTGTAATTAACTGCAATTTAGCTTTAGGGGATAGGTAAATAGATATCTTGATCTGTGTCTGCCCAAAGCTAAGTGAAACATTAAATCGAGATCTAGGGAAAAATATTACAAAGGAGCGTAGGTAAAAAGGTATATAGATCAGTTAGTAGATACGTGTCTTCGCGAGAAGCACGCTCTTATCATATTCACATGAAAAAGCTCTGGAGTTTATTGCGACTCAACTATTTCTATATTGAAACGTAGTAGCGGAAGGGAGGAACAAGATTGCGTGTACGTATAATCCACATTCATTTATTGTTGTTAGAAAGTCTGTATGCGATAAATCATTGCGGTTGAACAAAATGGGGATATTTTTCGTTTTATATAATTTGTCATTTACAAAGATGATATTAAAACAATATCTATTTTAGTGCTTGTAAAAACATATAAATACAAAAGTGATATTACCCTTGTTAGAATGAAAAGTGTACAGGGGCACAGGCAATCGGAATTTGAGTAATTAGTGTCGCGAAACTATTACGTACTAATTATTAAGCTGGCAACATTCTGGCCGAGGTCCATTGGCACTGACTCACTGGTGTGACGTCTCTCGCCTGAAATCGTGAACGGTGGAATACCTTCGACATCCAAGGGTTTTTACTCGTCATGTCTGTGAACAGGCGCTGCTTTCGGGGACTGGTCAATCCAAGTTATTCCAATTTATGTATGCGAGTCATTTCTACTAGTATTTAAGTATGTAATCTGTAAGTCTAGATATTAGCACGTCACTACCTTGTTTAATATACCACGCAATTTTGTATACCCATTATACACTATACAAGAATGCATGGTAAATTCAGTGAACTGCTCCTGAATCGAATGTACCTACTACTGCTATTTCTATCTATTTATTTATATTAACCGGCAGACAGTGGTGACTGAGTTTGTTGCGGCGCTTCTTCTCAGCACTTGCCAAATGTTGGTCTCGAAGCGCTGGTAGGGTAAAAAGATTATGAGACATGTAGAGGCTCCTTAAGAGCAAAATGACGATTTGTAAGAACTATTTATTAGTCTAAACAAATAAAGAAATTTTGACTCTGACTTTAAATTTCTTTTGTTAGGTACGGTTAAGTTCATATATTACCTACTTATTTTTCGCCCTTTACAAATAACTATTGATTGAAAATCGATATTGCAGTAAGCTCAAGTCGTTTCAACCATACTGCAGTAATCTACGTACAAAAAACCGGCCAAGTGCGTGTCGGACTCACGCACAAAGGGTTCCGAACCATTGATTTATGAAATTAATTTTTTTTATTTAAGTTATTTGTATGAAAGATTACGCGGTAATAAACGGTTTACGATTTACGAGGTATTAAAAAGTACTTACTAGACCTCGTTCAAAACAATTTTCGTTGGTAGTTTTTATAGTAATGTACATCATAATATGTTTTTTTTTTAGATTTTTCATTTTCTTATTTTAGAAGTTAGAGGCCGGGGGGACCAACTTTTTTCCACTTTGGAAGCGTCTGTCACGCAACCTATTCGGTTTAGAAAAAAAATATTTTAGAAACCTCGAAATCATTTTTGAAGACCTACTTACCTACGTTTATTACCGCGTAATCATTCATAGAAATAACTTAAATTAAAAAAATAATAATTTCATATATCAATGGTACGGAACCCTTTGTGCGTGAGTCCGACACGCACTTGGCCGGTTTTGTGCCATTTGGCTACGGAACCCTAAAAACAGCTATTAAGTATTTGTGCCTCGACATAATAATTTCATTGAAATTTTGACACAAACTTCTTAAATACGCAATAAGAAGCTTTGGGTACGTTTAAATTTAAGCTCATAAGGGTATTAGATATCTTAAAAATATTCTTAAAATCTAAATAGGCTTTGATGCTGTGGATAAATGGTAGGTAATAAAACCTTTGTATTATTACGAAGCTCCAAAAATATAAATATTTTTAAATCAATAATGATCAAAATATCTGCGCATTTATCTATGAAAGACTTTCAGGGTTACGCGTAATTCCTTTGCAAATACTGCCCTCGCCCGTCCCTCCGAGAGGTGGAGAGACTACTACGCAGTTTGGTTTAACCCTCGCTAAAAATTGCCCCGGATCGGGTGCGAGATGAAAATAAAATGTTGTATGTAACAAATACAAAAGTAATTAGTAGGTTTTAAGTAATAGTAGGTTTTACTGAAGAGAAATGAAGCTAATAAGAGACCACTGCCGCTCAAATTCAAATTATTTTATTTCATGTCACATGGCTAAAGGTTGACAGAACATAATACTTATTATTCGCTCCTGTCCAATAATATTATTAGCTGCAGTGTACTACATAATAATTGAAACTAGTAGTATTTAATAGTTATAATTCCGTACCTATGTGTATTCTAGCCACTAATATGAATTTCATAGAACAACCAAAATTGTATTGATAAAGTTTGAAATGATTTTGAATGAATGTTAGTTACTGTTATTATTAAGTACTATTGTGGCCACCTGTATTTATACTGTTGTGTTGGTTTATTTAATATGTATAATTAGAATTCATAATATTTATTTTTTCAGGCAATTAATGTCATCCATTTTTTCTTATTTATATTAAGGAAGACTGTAAACATTATACCATCATACGGATTCTATTATAGTTTATAATAATAATAATATATTTTATTGAACTTTCAAGTAAGTACAAGAATTCTTCTTATAAGTAAAGTGTAAAGTTAAAGTAATAGTTCGTGGAACGTCCCTTCATGTTCCTCTCTGGTACCAGTGCATCATACATAATTAAAAACAAATAAAAAATCTACCAACTAAGCAAGCACAGTGCAGACAAAATGCCTCCAATGTAAAACAAAAGGTTATCAAAGGGAAAATTTGATTTTACTCGCCATATTCTGTCTGGTATGTTTCTGTAACTTAACGCGCGCCGCCGTCGGCCATTTATTTTTGTGCACGAATGCACAGAGTCCCCTTACGGTATTTACCTCGAATATTTGCTTTGCGGGCATTTGTTACGCAAAAATAAAATATTTCTATGTAGTACAAATTCATATACTATGTTACCTGATCGTTCCGCGAAAGGATCTTTACAAAAATACTTCATTCGAGACATGAACTTCGATTTTAGTAGCTTTGAAATCAATAAGAAAATGATAAATAATCGCGAAGTAATGACGTCAAGACATCCTTTACATGACATATAATTTATGAGAGAGACGCGTTTTGACAGCCCATAGAAACATCAAATTAGTCCTTGTTATCCACAAAGGGGAATTTCTTGACCAGACTCTCACCTGCTGGAAGGTGATGAATAGGCCAGAGGTAGAAGCGATTAGTTGTAGTGGTTAGTATCCTTAAGAATGCTGTAACATGAGTATGTCGGCCATTTGGTGTAGTAATTCGGACTCTATGCCGAGAGTTCCCGGATTCGATTCCCGGCCGGGCAGAAATTGAAATTATGAATTTTAATTTCTGTGACGTGTCTGGGTGTTACTATTATGTTACTATGTACTACTACGGGTGTTACTATGTATGTATTTACAAAAAAAAGTATTTAAGTATGTTTATATCCGTTGCCTAGTACCTCCTAGTACCCATAGTACAAGCTTTGCTTAGTTTGGGACTACGAGTGAAGCGTAGTGTAAAATGTCCAAGGATATTTATTTATTATTATGTTTGTTGCAGAAATAACGGCGCGCTTCCAGACGGCCCGCACCGAGGTGCGCCAGCTGCTGCTGCAGTACCTGCTGCCGTGGCTCGTCAACATCGAGCTGGTGGACCCCAACGTGCCCCCCGCCAACCCGCTCTCCTACATCGAGGTAACCTTTGACCTTTACTCCACTTGGAACTGCTACGATCCCATCAGCTCTCGTTGCCATCACTGCAACTCCTGTGTAGCGTCATCTTCTATCCTAAGCCACGATAGCCTAATGGTGAAGAGGTCGGACTGGCCGACTCGTGATCCGAGGAACGCGAGTTTGAACCTCGCCGCCGCAGAAAAAACTCTTTAAATCGGCGAGGAACTACTACGGGATTGACCCTACCTCTCGTTCGCACCACTATCACTCCTGAATAATTAGGATCTAAAGTCACTAATGCAATCCAAACAGTGAAAGTTGATAGTCCTGAGAACTGAGCTGAGCAGACTAGTATTGCTATGAATCTGGTAAAAGAAAAATACGGATTTCATCCCAGCATGACTCTGAAATGAGCAGTAAGTACTGTTTGGGAACAAACAATAACACCGTTAACCAAGCCCCACTTGCCGAGTGTGCATGACACGCAACTAATTAATTACGCACGCATCAACAGTTGTCCAGGCCAGTGCGAGATTGAGTTATCCTGAATATTGACTCGAATGACTAGTAGCATTAAGTTTGTTTATCAGTTGCCTCATGAAAATCCGAGGAAAATTTCGCACCTATTTTTATAGAAATACAATTTCTATCGTTGTTTATGTGGAGAATGCCAATAATTTCACTTTTCTCGAATACAACTTTACTCGTCATAAGTCTGCCAATCGAAAACCAATAGAGAGCCAATTTGAATTGCCTCAGCCTCGACACCTGAAAACGAATTTCGATGTTATATCCGACGTCTGGTTTATTTCCAATGTGGCAAATTGTTTGTGTAACGCCTTCGCCTGTTGCAAACATGTCCTTGAAAAAGTTGCGACAACTACAAATTGTCTACGGTGCCTCCGACTCAAGATGCAAGGAAATTGACTAGTCGATGGAGGCGCATGCCGTGACATTGGCAAAGGTCGCTCAAAGAAAGTGCAGAAACTCCGTATTAAATCACATTTGCACCTCAACCCTCCAGTTTATAAGCGAAAAATGTTTTCTATGTTCCTCAGAAATCTTGTTTACCAATTATTTCATCTCAAAATGAGTCCCCTTCGTCAATTGACGTTAAATGTAATGAGAACACAAATATTAGTACGAAGTACCTTTATCACGCATGATCTATCATTACTCTATAGTCTTTTTCACCTAAGATGATCCGTATGACGTTTCGAGTTTGAAAGATTTAGAGATGTCACATAACTAAACCATAGCGATTTATCTATCGATTTTTTTCGAAGAGTTAATAAAACCTACTTTTAGAGAAATATTTTGTATGGGTGTTATTTAACAAAAAACATTTTTTTTTTTATTACAAATATTATTGTAACAATTTTTTATTGATAATATTCAAATTTCATGGTGCGTGTTCAAAAAAACGATTCCTAAAAAGTACTGGTTCAGTTTCTTTAAATTAAAAACTATTAATTTATTTTCAATGCGTTTATTAAAGTCAATAATCGAAAAATATAGTTGATTTTTGTGATGTTTTTAATAACTAAGTATTCACTGCAATCGATTAATGAACTACGGAAATAATCGATTTTATTATACAAGAAATACCCCAGCACTAAATCTATTCCGTTTCACACATTGCGTACATGAAATAAAAAATATTTTTACATCGTATTAAATTAAAATATAATCAATAGACTCAGATTTTACTATATATTTCAAGACAAGTAGTAAATTTATTTTTATTATATTGCTAATAAAATACAAATATTTTTTCAAAAATATTCTGCATATGTAGTATGCGTAATATGGATAACCTTGAAGTGTCATACGGATCATCTTACGTGAAAAAGACTATAGTTATTAACTAGAGCATTCAGAATTTTACATAACAAGCTCACAGATTTTTTGGTAATTGATCAAATAACCTTTTCATTAACCTTCGGAGCTTTTGAAGATTTTAACGTTCCAATTAAGTAATGAGTGCGTCTCGCTTCTCATTAACACTCGGCTGTACAAATAAAGGTTCACTCGATACGGAGCGCGCGATAACAGGTGAGGAATGGTGGACGATAAATTTCGATAGCAATGGAACGCTTTACGCTTTCCGAAACAATGCCGCCTTTCAGCCAGGACATCAAAGGCTGACCTTGGCGAGGCGTGAAGTTTTACTTCGATTGGAGACACAGCGATTGGTGTTGTAAACCTGACTCCCCACATTACAAATTTTTTTTTATATATTTGACTAGCTTTCCGCCCGCGGCTTCGCCCGCGTGGAATTTTGTCTGTCACAGAAAAACTTTATCGCGCGCGTCCCTGTTTCAAAAACCGGGATAAAAACTATCCTATGTTCTTTCCCGGGACTCAAACTATCTCTATGCCAAATTTCATCAAAATCGGTTGCGAGGTTTAAGCAGGAAAGCGTAACAGACAGACAGACAGACAGACAGACAGACAGAGTTACTTTCGCATTTATAATATGATAGTTGGGATATTCTACATTCTAAAATATTTATAGAAACGCTTTATTGTTACAAAAACAAACATTATGAGCTTTATTTACTACCTACTTAGAAAATACTCCTACATGCAGAAACTAATGAGAATTATGTCTATTTTGGATCGCCCTCTACGCCATTACCTTAGACTATTTTTAGAATATTGAAGTAGATAAAACCAAACTAATGACGTGTATTAATAGGAAAATACAACCTTTCTCATTGAAATGCTATTTGTTCCTGTCCATTAATATTTATTTTTCATTATAAACGAGTTGTTTCCTGTTGAGTTGTCCGAATGTCTTTAAATAGTTTCGTCCAAGAAAACTATTAAATATAGGGTTATAACATTTCCCATGCGTAATTACAGATAAAAAATAGCCTTAAGATGTTTGTTCTTTTACTTATTAAATAATAATGATTCACTCCTCTTCTAAAAACAACACTGTGCCTCATGCATTAACAATAAATTTTAAAGAAAACAATTCAGTACAGTAAAAAAATATTTTTATAGTAAGAGTTGCGTGTTAAGGCTAGTTAAGAGGCGTGAGTGCAAAAATAATAGCGTGTAAGTAGCGTGAAAGCTGCGTGTTGGCGTGAAGCTCGCAGCTCGTTACGTGCTTTCGGCGGCGCTCGCCCGGAACTGAGCACTTGAGCTGCGAGCAACAAGTCCCGCAGTTTAATAGAGCAGAGGGATAAACTGAGCACACTCTATAATAATGATAATGATACTAGCGTTCCGCCCGCGGCATCGTACGCGTGTAATTTTGTCTGTCACAGAAAAACCTTATCGCGCGCGTCCCTGTTTCAAAAACCGGGATAAAAACTATCTCAATGTCCTTCCCCGGGACTCAAACTATATCTATGCGAAATTTCATCAAAATCGCTTCAGTGGTTTAGGCGTGAAAGCGTGACAGACAGACAGAGTTACTTTCGCATTTATAATATTAGTATAGATTTTGAGAATAAGGCTTCCATTTTCCCAAATAATCACCGCTGTTCCTTCATTTATCTACTCACACTTAACTGCGCGTGTAAGGTGTACTAGCGGGGTTATTATAAATAGATGGAATAATAATTTATTCAAACAACTCAAGATTACTAGTAGTTTCCAAACTAATTGAGTTTCATGGGAACTGGGGTTGCTCGTTTACTTTAATTTATGAATGACGATGGTACAGTACATGTGGCTTTCAGACACTGCCAAGTATATTTGTAAAGTGTGTGTGTGCTTATTGTCTGCAGAGCAAACTTCTATTCCATTAATGTAACTTTTTGTGAACATTGATAACTACAAGCTCCGCAATTTGGAATAGTCCCGAATGTCATTGTTCACAGCTACACAATTTATTCGTTTTGTATTTTTCTTGATAACTTCGATTTATTTATATTTATTTTGAAAATTTCTTGACATTTAAGGATTTTTAGGTTATCATTTATTAATGTTGACCTGAATAATAAATTAGTAGGACCTAACTGCTTACCACTTGATATTTAACCTGTCATTTCAACACTTGACAATAATTAGCATGCCATTTTAACAATATTTTTCCATTTTAATAATTCATTAATTCTATCTTTATTTTATAATTATCGAAACGTTTAACCTTTAGCTACTGAGGTGGATTTAATTTCACGTAAACACTGACGTGGGGGCCTGAGCGGCCCGTACATATGTGTGCTTATATTTAAAAATATATAACCTTTTTAGAGTTTTATGTTTAACTAGCGGCCGCCCGCGACTTCGTACGCGTGGATCCCGTTTTGCCCCCTTCATCCATCTTACGCGGTTTAGATTTTTTCATACAAATGTTTTTTTCCCGCTAACTCCCGTTCCCGTGGGAATTTCGCAATATCCTGTTGTAACTAAGCTTTAAATTTACTAAGGTACCTGGACGCCAAATTTCAAGCGTCTAACTTAAGCGGTTTAGATTTTTCATACAAATGTTTTTTCCCGCTTACTCCCGTTCCCGTGGGAATTTTGCAATATCCTGTTGTAACTAAGCTCTAAATTTACTAAGGTACCTGCATGCCAAATTTCAAGCTTCTAACTTAAGCGGTTTAGATTTTTAATACAAAAGGATTTTCCCGCTTAATCCTGTTCCCGTGGGAATTCCTAAGTATCCTATAACCTGCCCAGGAGTATGAAGAATAATTGTACCAAGTTTCGTTAAAATCCGTCTAGTAGTTTTTGTTTCTATAAGGAACATACAGACAGACAGACAGACAGACAAAAATTTTACTGATTGCATTTTTGGCATCAGTATCGATCACTAATCACCCCCTGATAGTTATTTTGAAAATATATTTCATGTACAGAATTGACCACTCTACAGATTTATTATAAGTATAGATAATTATTAATAGTGGTTATATTTAAATACATTAAAATTATTTTTATGTAAATTTTTTGTTAATAAGTAAGTATTATTTCTATATTTAGAAATCATGTAGCATTTTTTGGAAAAAATCTCATGAAATCATGATTCACAAAGTTATCATGAAAAATATTCATAAATTCAACAAATCAACTTAGAATCTTAATTTTCAATAGTCTTTTTAGCTAATCATATATCAGTTATCCTAAAATGAAAAGGGGGGAAAAAAATGACACACATCAAATAGTGCGAATTAAACACAGTCTGGATAAACTTGCTTTGCTCAGTGAAGGAAGCCATACATGTTTTTAAAATGTAGATTTCATTTGAATCTTCAAAAGACATGTATGGGACTTGGTTTCATTGTTTAAATCTTGATAGACAGGTACAGGCATATCATTTCCTAGCATACGTGCCATAAACTACTGTTCTTCTATTTTTCGTTAAATGCTGGTTATTTTTACTTCCGAGATACCGCTTTCTCTCGGACGACATACTGTGAGCTCCATATTATAGATTTTTTCAAATTATTTCAAGAAAAGACGAAAACTAAATGAAAACTATAGACAAAAAAAGTTACGCCAATACTGAGGTGGGGGCCTGAGAGGCCCACAAGAAACTTTAAAATTAATTTACCTACTGAAATTGCGCGTGCAATCACGTGCACTGTTGTTGAGAGCCTCGGCGCAATGAAACTCGAAGGTACTAAAAGATTCGGGTGTGTCGTGCACGTGGGAGAGGAGAAATTCAACAATTTGACTTTTGCAAGGCCTGAGAGGCCCCCACGTCAGTAGTTAAAGGTTAATAATGACATTTCCACCAAACTCAATGTGTACATTAATTTCATTTGAAACTATTAAGATCGTCGTTCTGTCTCCTTCCTAAAGTTGCTGTGCCCTAACTGGGTCCACATTGTATAACTGCCTAAATTGTAAGACCTAATGTGAATGCTAATGTGGTTATGCAATAAACGGTTGAGTATTGATTGATAACATAGAATTATTTTTCAGTACTACGCGGAAGCGGGGCGCGGGGGCCGGCGGGAGGGGCTGGGCTCCGCGGAGGCCACCGAGATGGTGCTCAACAACCTGTTCTACATCACCGCCAAGGTAAGAACCTACAGGGTATCCCATCGACCTGCCCCACTCGGGAATCGAACACAGAACCTTCACTCCAAAGAGTCTATAGCACTGGGTCATGACTCTATTATAAATTCGATTTTATTCAAGTCTTACCTACTGCACTAATTTACACTGTGTAAGTAATATATTTGTTCAACTCCTTGACGTTGCGAAGCTAATATTGACTCGTGTGGTATTTACCTAATACACACGTCCTACAAGTTACGAAGTTCTAATAAATTACTTAATATTATCACACTCACTCAACTGATATTAATTTTACGCAATCACGGTGTAAACACATTCCGTAATACTTTCGTCTAATTTTAATAGCCATATTTTCTTGATTCTTTTCTTGTTTCTATGTACGCTCTTATTTCGGTTTGTCTATGGAGGCATGTGTAACGTGATGCTTTGCGCTCTATACTTGTCTAATCTTCTCTACCATAGACTCCTATAAAACTACCTCTACAAGTATAACTCGGATCGTAGCTTGCGTTTCCTTACTAAGAAAACCACCGTGGCTTATCAAACACGAAGTAGTATGTTTGTGTTGTGCCTAAAACTTGGCTCTGTGCAAACCCGTTACCGGGATATTGGGCAGTGGGCAGCGCGCGATGCGGCCCAGCCTGAGGGCCCAGCGCTACGAGCGTTTACTTGGCGGCGCGTAGGGCTGCTAACGTGCAATACCCTCTAGCAATACCAAACCGAAGGCTCATACTACTACTGTACAGTCGAAATTTTTAATTATTGTTAATAATACAGGGTCCTTCTAAACTAGCTACATTCCTTTTAATGGGGGCATCTATACGGTACACTGAACAAGTTCACCAAATTTGAGTATGTGTTTTATAATGATTTTACAAAGTTACATTTTCTAACAAAAATAAAAATTCATTTCGTCTTACATAATGGAACATGCTGTATTTTTTACTCACACAACAAAGCTGTAGTGTATTCATTCTGCACAGGAACACGAGACACAACACACACAACGCTCACTACCACTGCACACTTTTTTGTTGTTTACACTCACGTCATAACAACTCACAGCAGTCGTCACAGCTGATAGCCGATTAGCTGATCGACTGATTGGGCGAGCTATCACTTTAATGTTGCAGGCCTACTCTCATATCGTTGTCTATCCTTATTATCTTATGTTAATCACAGTAAAACGGACTCACGATACCATCGAAAAATCAATCAGCAAAGGCCATGATTTTTAAGGCGCGTCTTAGTAAATTTATTTGCATTTGTGCATCTGTGCGTCATAGTTCACTTCACGAGCACTACAAAACGCACCTTCACACAAGAAAGCTAATCAAAAACTGAATTAAATCAAAGCGCACGCGCCGACAAATGCCGACAAGNGTTGGCAGTCCATTGGTATTCGGGACTATTCTATACTATAGTGACCATAAACACCACAAAAAAGCAATCATTCTCCTTGAACCATATTTTTTCCAGTTATTTTGATTTTTAAAACAGTTATTGAAAAAATTTTGATAGAATTTAAACGGAATCAACCCGAGATCGTATCATTTCAATAAAAATAAAAATCTGAGCTCTATTGTTACAATCTATAAGATAAAAGTAATTTATTTTCTGCAGATAGGCTTTTAAAAAGCGCTTTTACACGTCCCAGTATAACTTTAACACTACCACTGCTAGTGGGGATTCTTGGATGGCTTAAACATGGAGTGCAGGTGCGGGTTTGTTCCCCAGTCGATGAAGCACCTGTGTGCCTACCATGAGTTTACGTTAGGTGTGCTCGCTAGCGACTGCGTAAAAAAATGACATTTAAATGTATGACATATTGTTCAGCGCCCCTAGCGGCTACTTTCAAGAAATAAAATCTTCATATAATTTTTTGACGTATTCGCTAGCGAGCTCACCTAACGTAAACTCATGGTAGGCACACAGATCCGACAGCGACGGGCTCGCGAAAGTAAGGCTGCAGCAGTTAAGAAGTTGCTGCAGCCTTACTTTCGCGAGCCCGTTGCTACTTCATGGCGGCCTGGTCCATGTCGAAGTTCGACTCCTGAGGATACGGGAACTTTAGATTGATAGATACCCTTTGCACATTTTACTATAGAATAGAGACGCGTCTGGGTATTCAAAATAAAGTACATACAGGTCTTCTGTTACTATGTATTTTGTGATTTTACCCTGACTATAGGGTACAGGATATTTGACACCACCAGTCGCCGAGCTCCTATCGTACGCAAGAAACTAGGCGTAAGATCCTACGTGGACGGCGCGCAATTCCGGTGTGGACCCAGCTTTGGACATACTTTTTGATCTACCAAAACGTGATTTTCCCATCGATTCATTTTATGACACAGGCTACACATTTGATTAAAAACTTTGGGCTACTGCCCATTAATATGAGGCAATTGATTCGTGTCATACTTACTGTAAATCACATTTGATTAAAAACTTTGGGCTACTGCCTATTAATATGAGGCGCTTGATTAGTCATACTTACTGTAAATCTAGCTAAAATTAAGTTAAACTCACCTAATAACAACATGAATACAGAAATTGTAAAATTAATGTACCATCGGCAACATAGAAGAAAGAAAAACATAATAACGAAGAAGAAAAACATAGTATTTTATGTTAAGTTGATAAATAAGTAAATATTGTTTTAACTGTAATGTCTAACATTATAATATTTTAAGTTAGGTACTTGCAAATTGTATTATATATTACCTATAAAAGTTATAAGTAGGTAGACGTATAAGATTTATAAATTTAATTATTGTTAATAATATTTAATAACTGTTATTTTGTATTGCTGTGCCCAACCGGGTGTGCATTTGTATGTTAGTACCTAGTACCTAACAATATACAGTGTATCCATTATGTGCAATAAATAAATAAATAAATAAATAAATAAATAAATAAATAAATTTTAAATTTTATCATTCACAATACGAACATTTTAACCACGTCATGATCAATACCTGCAGTGCAAACAGCAATATAATTTACACTGCATTTTCATTCTTTACACAATAAACTCGTCTGTCTGCTCAGCCCGAATATACACTATTTATAATGTTATTTTATGGTTTGCTCATCCAGCGACGCAGAACAAATGTGAAGGTATACATTTTGAATGTTTACCGAACGCATTCAGCCTGGACTGGATATTGGGCCTTTGTTCCGGGACCATCGATCTGACTGATAATTATAGGCCCGAGGTCGTTACACGCTGCGTGGATCTGATGTATGGGCCTTCGTTACAAATGGTACAGTCGACAGCATATAAACCTGCCATGAAAAGTGATATTTCCTCTTATGATTTTGTACTTTATGGAATAATTATTTCATAAACATAAAGACCACAATTTTTGGGGATATAAATAGTTTTTGAGCGGTACCTGGCTAACCTCGTGCTGACATTGGGTCATTCGACACCTCGCCATTGTCTGAAGCCGTGCGCAAACTCTTTCTTTTTCAGACGTTTCTTTTGTTATAATTTCAGGCTGTCATCTTAACAATACTTGTAAATAAAAATCTATCGTATAACAGTCTTTCAGCGAAATATTTTTTTGCTATCTCAGACTAAGCTATTGCCGATAAAAAGTGAACTGGTTACAAAAATAAATATTTTGGATTGCTCAATTATACGGATTGTCTTCTAAATTCATCAATCAACAAGTGATTTATTATTCTCTGAGGTATACAGGCAGAAATGAATGGCTTTGTAAAGATTTATGTTGCCAAAAAGAGTAGAGTTCAACGGAAGGACTGAGTAGTTCTTGCCTGAGATACGTATTGCTACTTTATTTTTAATTAACCGTACACTACAATCAATATATTCTCCGCTCATATGCACTCAGTTCGTTAAATATTAATGAATATTGTATGCCAAATGATACTTACTGCCCAAAGCTTAAATTACAATATCGAGACCAAAATTAGTGACATGCTTTTGAAACGTTGCGTTGTCAAAGCGCCATTCATTGCACGTACCTTTAAGCCGGGCCATGTTCAGTGTTATTAATTATCATACGATATTTCGTTGGTTCCAGCTATTTAATTATGCAAATGTGCGTGAAACGTTAACTTCCACGGATACACACAATTAACAAACCATTAAACGAAATACTTTTTAATAATAATTGGAAACGCGAAAATGTTTTTCATAATTTTGTTTATCTGGTCGAATGGTTAAAATAAATCCTCATTAATGTGAACAATTGTAAAATATTGAATAAAGCTGATTATTTGTGTTTTGCGAAATGTTAGTCTATTTAATCAGTCTATGAATGAGCGTCAGTAAAGTTTTTTAAAGTGATAATGAAATTGTGGTTGCGGCAACCCTGCGCTGTTTGGTGCTGCGCCCCTGTTTACGCGCGCGCGGCCTTCGCCGCCAAAGTGCCAACCCTACCGTGGCCATCAGATGCTGTTGACTCAACGCAAGGGCGTTTGCCTAAAGCACGAGTAGTCTATGGCTAAATCCGCAAACGAAAACATTCCCTTTATTTGTTTTGAGCACTTATTAAAATGTTTAAATGTATGCCTATTCAGTCAAAGCTCAAATGTTGGCGTAGCAGCAAATACATTGTAAGCGGACCTGAGACATGAGAATAAAGCTTAAATTGGCATAGCTAGACGGCATATTATGCGAATATTCGTAAAAGAATGTTGGCAAAAGGCCGCCGTCACGTGGGCTTAGCGGCACATATTCATTTCATGTTCTTTCGAGCATAAAGAAAACAAATCTGGCCAAACGTCAGTACACTTGTTTTCAGATTTTTTACCTTTCAACAAGTACAGTCCACTGACACTAATATTGTTACTGTAAGCCGCGATATCTTTGTACGTATTTCGTAAATCAAGTTTCATTTGATTCTGATAAATGAAGCAGTTCAGTCTAAAATATCCTATTTCGGACGTACTTTATTTTTGAGTTATTGTTGTAAAATGTAATTAAAAATATTAAAATCTAATTCTATTACAATTTCTGGCGTTTAGACAGGCCAACTTAATGGAGGTTTCCAGCTTTAGGCCGCCGCGCTGAACTCGTGAAGCCTAAATAATAACTCTATCATCTTCTACAGTGCGTTTTACGCCAAATCTGGAGTCGGCAGGCAGCCTGCACACGAAGATGTAAAAGACTGTACAATAAAAACACTTAAAATTAAACTTTTTGAACAAGACGTCAGTCTGGGCTGCGTTGGCAAGACCATACAAACTATTTGTACTCATAATTATCATTTTCATTCCAACGCAGTTGTCATACAATTTTCCGTGTACAGTCCTACAAATGGATGTCTAACGTCCGTCAAAATGTCTTTTTTGAAAGAGCCGTAACAGTTTCATTTGTCGGAAGCATTTTTCTAATCTAACTGGTTCTCCATTGACCCTGATCACAAGATTGACAGTCACTTCACAAGAAGACTCCCCTGCAGAATCTATTTCTATCGAAGGCTGAATATTAGAATCTTAATTAAAGTTACGTAGAAATATCAGCTTTCAACGCAACTCGATACTGCAACTCGCCTCGCAGACCAGCGCGCTTTGAAAACGAATATCACTGCAGTTTGTTATGATGATCTACTTAAGTTTGTTATGATGACCTACTTAGTTCCTCTGAGAAAAATCGTGCTTCTTATCTCAACATTTAATTACTTTATGACGAGATTTTTTTCAAACAGTAATACGCTACTCGGTGACCATAGAGCAGAGCTTCTAACACTTCATAAACTCAACCATGTATCATAAAAGCACATGTCCACCTTCGCACGTTAGCGCGCCGCCTTAGCCGTCCAGATTTCAGAAATCATCGGCCGGCACACGCGTTACATAAATACTTGAAAAGCTCCCACCTTATGACCAACCAACACCCACGTTGTAAATTCATTTGAGTTACGTCTGGCGCAGGTGTGTGATTTTATTATATCCCAGTAAAACACACTAATTTTTTTTTCGACGTTTTGTTGCGCCTATTCGCTATTTTAAGGTTTTTCAATATTTCTGTGTTTTGATCTAATAAAAATGTTTTTACATAATAAAGTATGGCTATAAACTATTACTCTTCATTATTTATTGGAGTTCAGTAAAATCTTTATTACTCGTGTAGAAAACGTACATCGTCTATATTGAAAAATTCATGCAGAAATCACCGATAAAGTGATATTAAATTGTGTAGGCGTTTCGCAGTGGAAGTCAGAATCCAATACATTGTAAGTTGCATGTTCAATACGTCGGCGCTCAAACATAAACGCGCACTTGACAGCTGGCATGGAATGGCTGAAGCAAAAGGAACCGGCGCTGCATTCGTCCTGCCCACGCGCTGTCGTTCACTAACGATGTACTTCCTCTCATATTTCATATCTCATGTAAAAGTGTCAATACATAGGACATGAGATTCGTAGCGTAGGCAATGAGAGCCACTTGCGTTACATAACTGTGCCGTAGTAGCGCCGTAGTCGCTCCGTAGTCGTTCCGCAGTCAAACTGTAGCTGTCTATAGTTCTATCAGCGCAGACCAAAGCTCAGCCGCTCAAAGGGCAGACCAAAGCTCACGTTCGAGCGCATGCGAAGGTTTAACAAAGGTGTGAATCGCAGCAGATGTTTCCTTTATACTAAGGGCTTTAAACCACTACTGAAAAGTGTAAAATTTAATATCTTCCTTCCTACTAAATATACTACTAGATACATAAAATCTTTGATAAAAATGTGATAAATCTGTATGTGAAAATAAATAATCGTTAATGATTTCATGAGTATTATAAACGCGCCAATTTACTATGTGTTGGCAACTTTATTTTAAAGAAAAATCCTTTGCATCGTAACTTTAATCATAGGATTCAAAACATAGAGCTTACCTTGACCAAAGACGACTTCAAAACATGTTGTTAAGAACTCTTATATTCATTTCTCGTAAACAACATCATTATCATTAAGGATGAATTCAATTTTCCCGTATTCAAACGTCTGATATAAATCATTTCTCTGTGCAAACCTATGCTCTTATTATCTTTAAATTAGTCCTGCAATCTTCGGCTTGTTACCTACTACGTCTCGACTATCGAACACACACATCTATGCATCGAAAATAAAATTATTTTGTATCGCTTAATCCGGTTAGTTTTAAAGTACCTATTGTTTTGATGGACGTACCCTCGTTTGAGGGGGCTCTTTATGTAGCTTAGATCAAAGGGTTCCTTTTTAATGTACTATTTTCAATGGCCTTAACAATCTGACAGTTGCACAATAAACCTTGATCCGCGTTATTAGTGCGGGCGGCGGCCATCGGAGATGCGCTTTCACGGCAGTGATTGAGTGACCGGCCACGCGCCTCGCCACTAATGTATACCTACTGTTAAATCCGATAATATTATACAGGATGTTGGTAATAACGAAATTGAAAAGAATATGCCTTTTTAATGGACACATATCATGTACCTACACAGCTGATTTACTAGCATAAACATTATTGTGTTCTTTACAAGTTATCTTTGAATTTTGCTAAGAAATTATGACTTGATATTCAAATTCTTGCTTGTTTACTCTCAGAGTGGGAGTGAAAACTTTACAGCCTGAAAGCTATGGTATACAATAGATATGAGTGCGGGGTATGTGGCCTTTACATAAAATATGACACTTAACGCACTTTCAGGCCGCGTTTATGCCGACTGACTAAACGATGCGAGACCCAAGTAAAGTTTAAAACAATAAATAAATCTAGATAATATATTTTTTAAGAAATGAACAATAATCTTTAGTAGGTAGTATCATCCTGTATAAATAAAATATGCGTGGCAAAAGAGGGGTCGAGCGCCAGGGCGCGTGCGAGGGCTGGAGCCCTTAGGGCTTAATTTTGGGACCTAGGCGACCTAACCGTTCTCACAGTGGGAGCTGTAATTGCACCCCATATTCCAAACGCATGTCAGATTCGCTGTGATTAAATAATGGCCGCAAATTGATTACGTTTAGCCCTACATGAGCGGAGATCGCGGCATTTACAACAAGTAATTTACATTGATTACATTTGCCGTCTCACTATTCATATAGTTATTGCCCTTGTACATAATAATTAGTCCCTTTCATATTTCAATATCGGTTTATAGTTTTAACCAATATTGCTTTAAAAGAGTTGTACGGATTCATCACATTTTTTTATCCTCAACGAGGAAGCTCTTGGCCTGTATCTCACCTGATGGTAAGTCATGATCAGGCCGAAAGTGGTAGAGAGCTTCACCCAGAATCCTCAACCACGGAGGAACTGGCTATCTTACCTCCAACTGTCGGAACACAACAAAGCTGTTAACATTGTTGTTATGGCGACAAACTTAGGTATTTGATTATTAACCGACTTGATAAATGATATAAATGCTAGGTAAATTGCGCATTCTCATTCTCAACAACTCTTAACAGTCTGTTATGAAAACGCAATCGAACTAAAGATACTCGTAACAAATGTACCGCTCATTAATAGAATTGTTAGCGGCAGACATTACGCGAAGGTTTGAAAGCACCGCCCTTGCAGCGCCGCTTGCGAACTCGAGCGACTCTAGGCCTATAGCAGCGCATTCAATTGTATTTATACCTGCTTATGTAATTTTATCTCTCGCCTCGGTACTGTATTTCACAGACCTCGGATGCGCTTTGTGAAAATCTTAAGGGCTTTTTACAAAGCTCAAGGAAAACATGTTTTTATTCTATTTTTTTTTTCGCAACAAGATAATAGGTACGTGTTCTTGGTGTAAGGGAAAGGTTAGCAGAAAGTTACTTAAAGCAGAAAGACCGTGATTTTTTTTAATTGAAAACAATTTCACTTAGAATAACCCCTCAAAAGATTAGTATTCTTTTAAATTGTTTTTCTATTGCCTGTTGTAAAATCGTTTTAGCCGATTTAGAAAATAATGCAAAAACTAAACGACGTGCTGCTTCATCACACAGAAACAATACGAGTAGAAGTAGCGTACTCGAAAATTGAGAGTCTGAAAATATTGATAAACCTTTCATTTCACCGTAATCAGATTGATTAATTATCTTATGATATCAAATTCCCGATAGTGATCTGAGTTCACCATTTCAGGTATCATACCATGTGTCTCTTGTTCACTTTTAATCTCACATACGTTTGGTTGATTCCTTTTTACGATGAATCACATTCGCCAACGGCATAAATCCGTCGTGATACTGTTGCACAAATGAATCATTTTAACGTAGATACGCGTAGAATGGAATACGCGAATGGAAAAGTACCTACGTTGGAAAATATCAAAGACGCGGTATTGTATTATTTACGAAATACAACTGAAAACTCACAGCTGCAAACGGAAAATGAAAACATTTTTCTCTGAAATGTACTACCTACATTAGGTAATTAACATTCATTCAAAAGATGAGAAACGGAAATAAACCATGAAATCTTGCTTCCCATTTTTTACGGATGATCTATTACGTCTCCGGCCATAGCGGTTTGAGAAAGTAAGGAGTGCGATTCGTAGGTTTTGAGTTCGATTCCAAAGTGTGGCACCAGATTGTGTTTTATTCGTCAATTAGATTAACCTTCTATATCTTGGTTTTTATTTACGCAATGATTTTAAGACATCCCGCAGACTGCAGACTAAGTCGGCCGATAGTTTAGTCGGCTTCCAGTTTGTATGAGAAATCGGCCGATACTAAATATGTGTAATGTACGCACTCTCATACATTTTCATACTGATTAACAGCCCGACTGAACTAGCGGCCTACAAAAACTCTGTAATCTATGGAGTGTCAAAAGTAATTCCTAATTTCCAGCGTTTCCCTGTACTACAACGAAAAGAGGTGTTATATGCAAATTACTGCATAAGCCTGTGATGATGGTGATGCTGACGCAAGTGTGGTTTCAGTTCTCGGACAACCACCCCAAGGAGATCGAGGAGCTGTGGTCGACGCTGTGCGCGTGCTGGCCCAACAACCTCAAGGTCATCATCCGGTACCTCATCATCGTCTCCGGCATGGCCCCCAACGAGTTGCTGCCTTACGTAAGTTTATTAAACACTAATCCATCATCTTGTCTCAAACTTGACTTACGCTTGTCTAATTTGAAGCTAGAAGTTATAATTTTCCTCCAAACTCTATAAAAGTTCATCCGGGAAATAATGAACCCCAAATTAAAATAAAACGGATATTTAAACCATCATGAACAGGCAAAACAATGAGAGAGAATATTCCCGGCGAACGAGCCGCGTGTCAAAAAGTAATATGTCGGCCCGGGAATTCGCGCGATGCCTCATTAATTAATTAATAATGCCTTTAGGCAGAAAAACATTCAGAGAGCAAATACGATATTTTATATGTAGGTACAAAAAGTAAATAAAGTAAATACTAATAGATATTTACTGTAAGTGTGTAGCTGAAATACTCCGCTGATGAAAGAAGATGATTAATTATAACACTCACACTTTGCTATGTAGGCTCAGAGCGTCCCTTATAAAATGTAAGCCAATTTATATGTAAGCAAAACTTCAGTCAACTGGCACTTGCAATAGTGTTTGTTGACAGAGGCAGATAATTATAAAAATGTCGATAATATTCTTTCTGTGTATTTCGCTTAAGTATAAATACTGAAAGACGAGAGAAGGCACCTTTCATGTAATTTTTACGGCTTCTATTGGTTCATTACAGTTGCTTTCCGACCTCGGGCGCAAGGCTGCACACTTTATTTATACTTCGGTGTACCAAGATTCAGAGGTATTTAATAGATTTGTGTCTTATGTGATCTTAAAAACAGATTCGTTGATTTAGCTGAAAAGTTAAACTCTAAACCGCCTCGTTTTTCCAAGTCGCTTAAAAATCATAAAACTTATTCTATAAAGTACACAAACCACATCTTTGGTGAAACGCAAAATGAAATCGGATAACAAAACAACCACAACATGGACTCGATTCTTTCAGCTTCGCCGACACCAGGAGTCACGAGTAACGGAATCTAACTCGTACTAATTGGCTTTGAACTCCGCCACTTCCCGAAGTTCGAATCAGTTGTTCACCCTGAAATTCACACTGAAATATACGACATAACAATGCAAAGTTAGCTTGCTTGCAAGTATGTAGTCTTTGTGATGGAACCACTGATCACAGAAACTTAAGGGAGATGTAACAAGCAATGATGACAGCAGCGATGTCATAATGTAAACAGTTTACATTGCTTGCGTAGTACTAAAGATTATTCGAACGTCGAGTACTGATACCTCAGTGGATAATGAGCACATATTTTGATTACTCTGTGTGTGTGAATTTCTAATGCGACACTGAGTTTCGAACTCAGCGCATTAGTTGGTATGGTTGAAAGTCAATTTTGATTAATTATGTTAAAAACAAAATTAAACTATGTTCAAGTTTATTTATGTGCAAAAACTCCAAGTTCCTAATCCCAGTGCAGGTTTAGCATATCGTCGCAAAGTTGTCTATTCCCTTAAAATCTGGCACGTGCGGGTTACACTTCGACAAGTCTATTACCGGTGGAAGCGGGACTTTGCTTAATTAAACGCGACGTGCTCTCGGAGGATATGCCCAACCACACCTCGGTGCATCCGCTACATCCAGTGATTGCATGATAACGTCTTTATCATTGTCTATCAGTAGTAATATAAATGACTCTATTGTTACCGATACATCCACAATAGATACTATATCAAATTGGTTTTCGACGAAATGTGGAATGTTTGAAATAAGCTAATGATAGTTTGAACTACCGCTTGTGTAATAGTCTAATATTAAAAGTAGGGGGTATAGATAATGATGATGTGTGTACCTGACCTATATCAGTTAAATCGACAGTATAATTTCAGCTTTAATTTATGGTACGAGGGCGGCACTGAAAATTTCGGGAATCAAGGAAGTGAAACAACATTACTATTTAAAAATGTATTTATTGCTTATTAAAGTATTCTCCGCGAAATTTGACACATTTTTCCATAGACGANGGGCGCGGGTCAAGCCGCGAGCGAGCGAGCTGCGGGTTGTCGTAGGTCAGTGATACACGGCCGTTGATAAAATTTTGGACTGTTTTTGCTTCTATTTCTTGAGTGACGAATTACTGTAGAAAACTATTTGCACTAATAGATCGATCGGTTCGTTAGCTTTATTGTGGTACTAAACACTGCGTAAAAACTTCACTTTTTCCATGGTTTCCGATTAAAAATTCGCGGAGCGTAATAAAACGCGTCCTTGTTGACCGATGTTTTCCAAAACGTTTCAAAAATGTAATAATCTCTTACATATCATAAACAGAACAACTAGTAGACGAAAATAATTTTGTAGACTGATTGGCCAAGGTCATTAATGTTGACTAATTACTATAATGATACGGGTTGAGATCAAATTAATTTGGTGATTTTCCATCACACTGTGTTAAAGGGAAATCAGACGGCACTTAGCGTCCCTGATTAGACCATTTGTGTGTTTTCTATCACTTATTTGTACATAATATTTAATTATTTATTTAATATTGCAATGAACAGGGAATAAATATCCATCCAATAGTTTGAATTCTACTCAAGTAGGTAATCATTCATCTTTTTACGATATATTATATTTATTACTATGAACTGTCTAGAATCCTCTTTTGACCTGGCCTAACATACTAATACAATGTTGTATACAGATAAGGTAAAAAGATAGCTAACAACCTATACAGATGACAATAAATCAACCATATTCATTTTCAGCAGTGAACGTTCACTGTTAACCAATGTTATTTAATAGGCTAGTTGCCTAAAAAAATGTTTTTAGTCCGTAATGTTTAATATCAAAAAATATTGGACACATATATTTTTATTTGTCAATCTNACAGTGGAAATATTCCATTCCCGATACTTTTAGTGCAGCCCTCGTATGGCTTTAGTAGTCACATATCAGTTTTATTTATAAATGGCACGGGCCTTTTAATCCAGGCAATTACGAGTAAGGTACACATAATTTTCCTACTATAGCAAGTATTTTTGTGAAGTACTAAATCTACGCGTTTCAGAATGGAATTGCTATTTGTATAAATTAAGACTGATTTGTTATGCGTTCTCGATTCATGAAAGTAGTTTTTTCTCCAACACTTCACTGTTCGCTCACAACATCGCCGGGGATTACTTCAATATTGAAAATAGTGCTATTTTCGTTCTCCCTAGAGCCCGGAGTTTCACAAGGCAGCTTACCATTACTGGCGAGAGGACCTTACTACAAAGTTAAATATTATGTCGCTCAAAGGCTTTATTAATGACACACTTAATCAAATTACAAAGTGGTGTTTGATCTGCCCTATTAATTTTGATTTAACGTAAATGTCAAAGAGAATCAAGCCAGCCGCAGACACTATTTTAAAGGGAAGATCAATAACAATAAGTGAATATACAGTTAGCGGCGGCTGTATTTGAGGGCGGGGGCGAATCGCGTTGCCTCGCTGATCGCGGCTTACCTCCGCTTGATGGGCTGAGTCGTCTTTGAGGGATTACCTCCGCGATAGGAATCACGAACGTATCATAAAGACAAGTAAATTCGACGTATTCGTAATATTATTTTCTGTCTCCAAAAACTTGTTTTTGAATTAATCAAACCTAACTTTATTCTTGAAATGATGAGACAACTAAGCTAACAAAAAATATTTCTATAAACGGCAGCCATAGAAAAAGATCCAATTAAAGATACGTTTCATAAAAATGAGACTAAAATCCAGACGTTTTAAATATTTCATTTCAGCTATCAAATTGAAAATGAAAGAATGTAAAAAAATAATGTGATAGGATATTTTACGTAAAATTGTTTTAAGATTTAAGGTGGATAACCTTAACTATGGTTAAAGAACAAAGTTTTTAGAATAAGTAGCTATTGAATTAAAGGGATTCTAAACTAATGAAAAAGAAAATTTTGATGTCTGTAAGCACCTACTGGTATCCAGGTGAAAGGAGCTTTTCGACATTAGGTACATGTGACAGGCGGGCATGATGTCGATGCTATTAGTAGGTACCTATTGCCAAACGGGGTGCATTAGGATATGACAGTCGTTACTAGGTACAGTGCGGTGACCATCTTGCTCCCGAGACAAAATATTACGGGCTTCGTTGAATCGGCACTCGCTTGGATCGTTGTGTAACACAATGCTTAAAGAAATAAAGCTTTTTGAATTCTAATTTTCGATGTTTCTAGGAAACAATAAATCAGTTTAAGAGTAGGCGCACACCGTTGATTTTTAGTTGATCGATAGTTGTGCCCGATTTTAAATTGTATGAAGAATTGGCCAAATCGAATCGGCGTAGTGTGCGCACTCCCATACATGCCCATACTGATCAACTACCCGACTAAACTATCGGCCGACGAAAAATCAACGGTGTGCGCCTACTCTAAATACCAAAGCTCAGAACACTGACCTCGTTGAAACTACTCAGTTTTTTCCTTATGTAATTTTCAAGATATTGGAACTTATTGGAAGGAAACATTTCACAGGTTTATACCTTATTACGTAATTAAATAGTTAGGTAAAAACAAACATAATAACAATATCTTGAAGACAAAAGAGAACACTGCTCATAAAAGGATTGGGTTGATATACATAATAGGGACATAATTGAATTTCGCCAGAGCATCTCAAACATGGTGTTCCTACGAACATCTCCGCCCGCGGGCACCCGGTCGCCTAGAGCCAATCACGTGACTGCTACCTTCAATTAGCTGATGTCTCGCGACGCGACGCGCTCCAAAGCCTGCGGGTAGACTGCATTGAACTACTTACTAATGCTACCTATTGAGCCCTTTGTATGTGACATCAAAGAAGCTACCTTGAATGCTGTTTTGCCCCAAACTTGTCTAGCTTTAAAGACGGCTTTGAATGAACTGCGCTCATTAGGTATTGCTCAGTCAATGTAGTATTTGCTCATATAAACTTGAAACGTTAAAAGATATATTGTAACGAAGAAATTGAGAAATGAAGAAATAAAATACAAAAAGCTTTGTCTTAATCCTCACCTAAGTCTAACCGCTCCCACAAGGCGGCGACATCTAAAACCAGTCTTAGTGTAATCCGTCACACACATAACTTTTTGAGACAGATTTGAAAGCTTCCAATCCATTAGTAACTACTAGCGTATCCCGTGACTTCGTCTACGTTTCTGTTCTTTAATTTAAAGGAGATTGAAATATCTACGTTACATTAACAGTTTTTGAATTTAGTCTTAGACGCCAAAGTAATATGATACAAACTTGATGATAGCCTCTAGCTAGACCCTTAACTTACCTTTCTATTCTAACTTTCCTCGTGCTAAATTTCAGCTCACGTCTATCACGTCACATTTACGTGAAGGAAAGTGACCTTTTGCCTTTTTATACCTATCTACATTTATGTGTACCGTACAAGGTTGTCAAAACTTGCGTGCTGTCAAAGATAGAGGATAATAAAAGTTATGATAATATGATATTCGTATAGCCACAGAATAATAATAAGTACTAATACGTACGGAAAGTTTTCTTCGCAAAGGTATTCTAAATTAAATTTATGTGTGACGTGAAGAGCCAAACTGCGGAAAATGGCGGAGGAAATGACTAAGCTATACTAAGCATGAATGTGGAATGGAATAATAAATAGTATGAGGAATAATAACCACTTACTTAGCTTTCGTTTTGAAAACACGTATAAAGGACAGAGACAAAATAATAATATGTAAAGCTATGAATTTTAAATGTGACTTTTTGAAAATCTGATTTCATGCAGGAAAATTGTATTCTTATTCGTTCGTATAGACGAATATTCTTACGTTATAATATTCATAGGAATATCGTTACTCTTTTGTTATTTTTTGACATGCACAGATGTGAATTAAAATCGTTTCGCTGTCATGTCACCAGTATGCCATCGGCGTTAGAGTAGGCGCACACCGTTGATTTTTCGTCGGCCGATAGTTTAGTCGGGCAGTTGATCAGTATGGGCATGTATAATGGGAGTGCGCACACTACGCCGATTCGATTTGGCCGATTCTTCATACAAATTAAAATCGGGCACAACTATCGGCCAACTAAAAATCAACGGTGTGGGCATACTCAATGACAAACATTGAACAGTTGAACTTTTCCGCAGGCCAAGCGCGTGGTGCTGTACCTAGCGCGGTCCCGGCCTGAGAGGCTGCTGGACGAGATGATGACGGAGCTGCAGACGGTGGAGACGCTCAACTGCCTCATCGAGCGCACCGAGACGCCGCCCTTCTACCGCCTCACCTCCATGCGGAAGGCCACCTCCGGCCACAGCGACGGGCCCGGCACTGGATCTCAGGTACGTTACCTCACTAATAACTGACCTGACTAGGGTTGCTGTGGCTTTATCCGGAAATGTTTGGCTTTTTACGGTCGTGTCCGGCCAAAAATTGTCTTGTCCGGCTTTTGTTAGGCTTTTTATGTAGTTGCCGCGCCAGGCGAAAGTCAAGCTACAGAATAATATCAAGCGCACGCATCAGGATGTTGGGCAACCGATGATGATAGAATTCACTCGTAAGCTATGACACTAATTGCACCCCCCCCTCCTCCCCCGTGACATGTCCAGCTTTTAGGGTAAAATGTCCGGCCAAATGAAGCACAGAGTCCGGCTTTTATGTTTTAGTACCTGGCAACCCTAGACCTGACAGTCTCACTGACTTGACTTTCACTTGAGATCCTATGTCCCTTATGGGGCAGAGGGCGTCCACAACTGTCCTCCGTCGTGTCTACGACTCTCACTGCTGATAGATATTCCTCCGGTTCTAAATGACATTTCGTCGGTCTCAAGATGCCTCTTACTAGCAACATAGCCTGGTTCTCATAAAACGGGGGCCATTTTAAAACATCTCTTTCAAACTAAAAAAAGCGGAGCATACCTTGTACTTGGTCTAAGGTGTACCTTAGATCCAGTAAAAGGCTCGTAATTTCAAGTTCTCTATCTTTACACTACCCAACCTCCACTGAGTCATATGAGACATAAACTGAGATTATTGTATTTGTTCAACAGAGGGCCTGCTTTCACTCATCAGCTAACTTTTATCAATCATTTTGCACCGTTGCAGATGGACGTGCCATCAGCAAACAATTATTAATTTATTTTTACACTAAATAAAATCAGTGTCGTGCATACATCGCATAAATCTGTGTCNGTTACTTGTGCAACAGACATTTTACTACTAAATTGTATAGTCTGTTACCTTATCTACCGTGCATAATGAGATTCCGTGCTTCGGAGGGCACGTTAAACTTTCGGTTGGAGAAGCCATGTCAGACACATAATGGCGGCTCATTAAGTTAAGCCTAGGGTTATGACCTCGGTTGTTGGAAACCACATAATAGAGAGGATACTAAGGAGTAGTTAGAGTGTAATAATAAAGCTCCATAATATTTTGGAACATAATAATTATTTACACCAGGTAAGGTGAATTTAGCAATTTCAAACTTTTTTAATATTTAATTTGCACCGTTGCAGATGGACGTGCCATCAGCAAACAATTATTAATTTATTTTTACACTAAATAAAATCAGTGTCGTGCATACATCGCATAAATCTGTGTCNTATTGGACACATATATTTTTATTTGTCAATCTAACAAATAATTACATAGTTATGGTGCGTTGAAGTTGCGCACGACGTCACAACGTGCGGCATTTTTAAGCAAGCGTTGACGTCACGGGCCTCTTCTTATGAACTTTGGGGCGCTTTATCTCTTTAAATTTTCATTAGTTTGAAAAAGTGAAAAATACGTGTAGAGTATTTTTTTATAAGTTAACTGACGGACTAATTAAAACTCTTGCTTTTTGACCCAGGCAACATCCCCATTGTTATTAGGATTATGCAACAAAAATGTGTCTTTTGCAACTAAATAACCTTTATAGTAATATCTTTTGTGTGTTTATCAAATCACAATCAATATGTCAATGTATTACATTATTTGTTTGTTTACACTTCCAGTCAACTGCTAAAACGTGTTGTAACTTCAGTTGTTTATCATGTATGTTTCAACACTTGCAAGGAGTTACAAACATCCTCAGTAAAGTAACTAGCTAGTAACTGAAAATGACTTACCGAAAGTCCAACAGGCAAGAGTGGACAGCATTTGTCTCACAGCTTGATTGTTGGGTAATATTATCGATGCAATCCATAATACCAATGCCAGTACTATCCGAACAAATAACAGCAAGATTCCCACGGGCATATACAAGACGAATTGTATAGCATTTTCACCACTAAACCTGCAATTTCAACAAAATGACGCATTTATTAAACAGAACACCAAAATTAAGGCACCAAGATAAATTTCACTGTACACTTTCCCTTCAAAAAGGCAAAATTTGTACCCACTCTCAAAATAACATTGAATTACCTGTCGTCATTGATTAATTTGTCCACTGTTAGAGCCATAACAATTTTGCATGAACGATACTGTTATTGTAGCCCACTTTGTAATTAATTTAAAGCAAAAATGTGAATTTCCTCTTTCTTCGTAATGTGTATACGTATGACATGAATGACATTTACCACAATAAAAAAAACGAAAGTCAATTTCGGGACAGTTGTGTTGTACCAATCGGATTGGGACAACTCCGGATCTGAGAACTTACAAAAAAAAAACAGAAACGAAATAAATTAATTTAAGTTGACATCCCTTACTGATTGATAAAATTCGAGATAAACGTGAAATTAAAGGAAAAATCTATGATGCCAAACTTTATAAAATAATGTTTGTGTTCCTTTGCTAACATTATAAACAACTAAACATGTTGCCAGTACAGAGAAAATGTTTGTATTTGTTATATTTATATTATGCAATAAATAAATCATAGAAACAAGTTATTTGTAGGAAATTAGAATTGTCATTTGGAAATATATTTGAATATTATTATTTTTTCATTTTTTTCTCGTCTCATTACCTAAAATAAGTAGATTCCGCACTTATGTGTAGCAGTACTAGCGGTATTCGAATGGCATGGCATCTTTTATTAAATACCCGTGTGACTCTCTGGATTTAATAAACACCCACCTTTTAAGTTGTGGTCATTATCATTAGATTCTGTCTTAGTTTTGATGTCATTATGATGATGATTTATAAATAGGTAAAAATATTGTATCTTCTTACTAGTAACATTATTTTCTGCTGTCAATTTGACGTTAGATGAAGTGACAACTTCTTTTTCCGTCGATGATGTCTGTGGTTGTTCGACTTCGCGATTCTTTCTTCTTTGTCCTTGTGTAGTACCTAGAATTAATTCTAAAACCAATCTATTGAAATAATTACAAAAGTGCCTTGTTCAATAATTATTATTTAAGGAAGAAATTGTTTTCTAACTCTTGTGATGTAAATCATCTTTTACATCTTCGTGTTTATTTGTGGAGTGGACGTGTTTATTTCAAATTCGACCATCTGATATTTGTTTACTAGTCATTAGGGCTGAAAGTGCTGAAACGATTACGATGGACAACATAATTTCGTCACCGGAAGACAACACCTGCTCGGAGGGGGAGGAAGAGCGTAAAGCGACGGGCACTCGCGCCAATCATGCGGATCCCCAAGGATTTTCCTCGTCTCAGTCCGCTGCGTACACACTCCACGAAATGGAAGAAAAAATGCGACGAAAACTGCAGTTTTTCTTCATGAACCCGATCGAAAAGTGGAGGGCGAAGAGGAAGTTTCCATACAAGTTTGTTGTGCAAGTAATCAAGATAGTGCTGGTTACGTTTCAGCTCTGCCTATTTGCACACAACCGATACAATCACGTCAACTACACGTGGGACAACCGTATCAGTTTTTCGCACTTATTTCTGCTGGGCTGGGACTCGACGCGAGAGATAAACGCCTACCCGCCGGGCGCCGGCCCCCTGGCCGTCTACAAGGTTGATGAGTTCTACAACACCCTGGACTACGCTTTTGCAGGCTACCAAAACCTTAGCAATGCTATAGGCCCATACTCTTACAATGATGAAAACAATAATCAAGTGGACCCTGTCTTTTGCCAGTACAATTATAAAGAAGGCATCATCAACGGTTTCAATGAGAGCTACGAATTCAACTCAGAAGTGATTGAGTCATGCACAAACTTCACTGGAGGCAAATCTGTATATTTCAGCTCTAAGGACATGCTGAAGAGTGCTGGTTTGGAAATTAATTTTGCTGCATTAGTTCGTGCCAAGTTGATGTTCTCAATCAAAACTATAAACTTCAGAGCAGCTGGGCCTATCACTCCTCCTGACTGTTATCGGTTCGATGTGGCCATAATATTTGATAATGAAGACCATGATGGGCAAATGTCTCTCACATTAGACGCTGAACCCTACAAGTTGATTTGCAAAGGTGATCAAGAGTATGTGACGGACAATAAAATTGATCAAGTCCTAAGAAGTATTCTCAATATACTTGTCATACTTATTTGCTCTGCTTCGTTTGTCCTGTGCAGTAGGGCCATTTATAGAGCGCAACTTTTGAAGGAACTCACTGTCCAATTCTTCCGTCGCACTTACAACAAAGAACTCAGCTTAGATGGGCGATTAGAGTTCTTGAACATTTGGTACATAATGATCATTGTCAATGACTTGCTCATTATTCTGGGATCAGCAATTAAGGAGCAGATTGAACGAAACCAATTTACAAACGACCAATGGAATGTATGCTCTCTGTTTCTGGGTACAGGAAACTTACTTGTTTGGTTTGGTGTCCTAAGGTATTTAGGATTTTTCAAGACTTACAATGTCGTTATCCTGACTCTGAAAAAGGCTGCTCCAAAAATATTTAGATTTTCTATCTGTGCTTTGCTTTTGTATGCTGGCTTCACATTCTGTGGTTGGCTGATATTGGGACCTTACCACATGAAGTTCCGTTCTCTGTCTATGACATCAGAGTGTCTGTTTTCACTTATCAACGGAGATGATATGTTTGCAACATTCTCTATAATGTCGAAGAAATCACCAATGCTTTGGTGGTTCAGTAGAGTGTATCTGTACTCATTCATAAGTTTGTATATTTACGTTGTGCTAAGTTTATTCATTTCTGTGATCATGGATGCTTATGACACAATAAAGCAGTATTACAAAGATGGTTTCCCAAAGAGTGATTTGCAGCAATTTATTGGTGAAACGAGTATTGAAGAAGTATCTTCAGGATTATATCGAACCCAGAGTTCAACTTCCCTAAATGCTTTAATGAATTCGTTATTTTGTTGTAATTTTTACAGAAGTGCATATTCTAAAATAGGTGGACGTAGTTCAAATCAAAATCTGATTTAAATATGTATTCTAAAAATTCAATGTAGCATGCCAGAAAAGATGTTTACTTGTATCAAATACTAATAATTGATAACCAGGTATATCTGTATTTGTCCACACCTACCATATCTATAGTAAATCAAGGTCTCTTTCGCAATTGCCAATGTCAACAGGGCAGCTATTTTTGATATTATTTTATATTACATAAATTGAAAACTGCAATTATGTCACAAAAGTATTATCAGAAGAGCACATACTCAAATAATGTAAGTACCTAAATGAGTTTTAAAATTACCAAAGATAAATTGTATAAATTTATAGATCAATTACATTGTTTCTTTGATTCTGCTCAAGATATTTTACAACAAATTCTTTTTATACTTGTACTTACAATAAATTAGTACCTATCTTAAGGTAAATCATTATTTATTATGCATAAACAAGTCCATTATGTGACTGTTTAAAAATATGATGAAGAACCATTTAAATTTATACCAATATCATGTAGGTATAAATATTTTTTCTTATTTAAAGATACTTATTTACAATCATTCATTTAATCATCTCATTACTTTTAGAGTTATTTATTACATACAAAGACAGTCTTTGTTTTTTGCACCGTTGCAGATGGACGTGCCATCTGCAAACAATTATTAATTTATTTTTACACTAAATAAAATCAGTGTCGTGCATACATCGCATAAATCTGTGTCAGCGCGTGTTAGTCATGCAGTCATTGACATACTTTACCTGGGTTTTAGTGTCATTGTGAATACTAAATACGAGAATGGAGAGTCCCTTTGGTAGGAGCACCAGGACCAGTCGCAGCCCCCCTCCACCACAACATAAACCACAAGCTAAGGTAGCCCAACCCCCCACTGAGTCGAACATTGAAAGTACTGTATCGACCCAGGAAATACAAAAATGGCTTTCATCAATTGAGAACTGCCTGAGTGAGATATGCAACATATCTGCTGAGGGAAAGATGAACACTGAGCAGAAACTGAAAATCAACAACTATAGCAGAAATGTCTGCTAATANACAATATCAGTGTCTGAAACAAAGATACATCTCAGCCCAACTGACTATCAATGCCTTAACGGACCAAAAAGAGACGTCAAATCAAATTGGGGAACAGATTCAGGACCTGAAAGAATGCATACGTACTGCCCCCCAAGTTCAACCACCTAGCTTATCTTTCGCTGACGTGGTACGAACTACCAAACATACGATCGCACGACCTTCGAGCACCAGCACTTTGGCCATTTACCCAACTAGCAAAGATAAGTCAAGCGAAGACACGAAAAAGCTCATTCAAACAATAATCAAGCCCGAAGAACTTAAACTGCATATACGCGGAATGAGAAAAACCAAAGAGGGAGGTGTTATTATTAGCGCTGAAGGTAAGGATGACCTTGAGAAGCTCAAGCAGTCAGAACAGCTGAGAACCTCGGGCCTGAAAATTGAAGAGACCACAAAACGGATGCCAAAAGTTATATTACTAGGAGTGCCCGCCAATACCCCCGAAAAGGAACTTCTGGAATGTTTATTTGAGCAAAATATTTCGGGTAAGCATCAGCATATAGAGCGAGAAGCGTTCTTAGCCAAGGTAAAACTTAGCCACAAATCCGGCAAAAAAAATGCGAGTCACTGTAACTACATACTTGAACTACCCTCTGACCTCCGAAAGCTTATTATTCAGCAGGAAAGGGTTTTCATAAATTGGACCTCATGCCCAGTACGGGATTATACAATTGTGACCAGGTGTTTCAAATGCCAACAATACGGGCACTCGGCTAAATATTGTCGAGAGACTGAATCCACCTGTGGGCACTGCAGCCACGTCGGGCATTCAATTAAAGAATGCCCAAAGCAACAAGAACCTGCCAATTGCGCTACGTGTCGGCGATACAACAAACCGAGCCAACATAAAACAGGAGATGAACAATGTCCCGCTCGGAAAACTGCTGAGGCTCGATATCTGAATTCCATAGACTATGGAGGCGCCTAGAGCGCCACACAACCAGTTCTACAAGCACAGGGATGGGTAATATATCACCTGATTTTATTAAGGACATAGACTCTTCTTACGAATTTGAATCAATAGTATGTGACCCACATTCATGCTCGTCCTATTTATCTAATAATAATATTAAAAGTAGTCTTAACATTTTCATGCAGAATATTCGTAGCATCAATTGTAANTTTAGAATATCATCTCCAAATCAACCTGTTACATGTGTGTTTATTCTTATGTATGGGGGTCTGGGTAGGCCAACCTATTTTACTTAGTTTTAATTTGAAAGTGTACCTTACTAATTATTATGCATAATATGAGGATATTAAACTGTATAAATAGCTCTTAACATTTGTACCCAGTTGTTAGATGTTTATTTTAAAAAATGTAAAAAAGATGTGTGTAAATAAATGTATTTTTGTAAAACTGGTTTCTTTTGTTTAATTAGTTTATTTTGATAACGTGCGACATTATCCTCCTACTCGAATGAATAATTTGACCTGGATTTGCCTTTGTTAATATGATCTTTGTCACGAGGTCGTCTTTCGTCGGACACAAATGCATGATCAAACTGCATTCGAAGTATGCAACACGATACTTCAATGAGTAATGTAACAGCAAATTATAGGAAAACAGATCTATTTGCAACTGTATAAAGTACATTTTACTTGCACGTAATTTATTAATTGATAGCTAAAATCAAATTCTTTCTCATAACAATATAATTGACACGAAACAATCGATGTTTTTGCAATACGATTAACGCCCCCAATTACGTGGCCAACACTTGAGTAGAAAATGATCTATCGAGTATGTACAATTATAAAAAATTGTACTTAATTATATTCTTGCAATTAATTCATCAATCAAGTGCCCCGCTTAAGAGCGTTGTCACATTTTTCATGCAGAAATCGAGAATTTGGCAGATTTCGAAATGATTTTAGTCATATAATTTATTGTTATAGCTTCTTTTGACTTATATCATCGTAATTATCATACGTTTTTACGGAAAGTCTATTGACAAAATCTCGTTCAAATTGGATTTTTGCCTACGAAAACAGCGAATTTCGAAAGCCCGATTTCCAGGTAACTCGCGAAGGCACAATTTTGAACTAATATTACAACAAATTTATTTCTAAGTAAGAAGATAGAATGTATTCATTAGAATAAGCATACCCTGAAGAAGAAAGTGTATTGAGAAAATTTTGATGTTTAATTCATTAAAATGCATTTTTATCATGTCTAAGATAGTCAAAATTCGAGAAAATTACTGCAAGAAAACAGGTCACATCTCATAATCTAAAAGTCATTTGGCAACATAAACTACTTTATACTTAAGAAGAAACATAGTACTATTATTGTGTGAAAAAGAAAAAATATCTATCTTGACGATATTGTGGTCATGGCAGAATCGTTGGAAGATCTTGGAACAATGCTCGAAGACCTTAATCGATTTTCCCAACAGGTAGGCCTGAGGATGATCATGGACAAAACGAAGCTTATGTCGAATGTCCATGTTGTGCCCTACCCAGTTTCAGTTGGAAGCTCAATTCTCGAGATAGTCGACAAGTAGGTATGTCTACCTCGGATAAACGATCCAGCTAGGTAGGTCCAATTTCGAGAAGGAGGTCAATCGTCGAATCCAACTCGACTGGGCAGCGTTCGGGAAACTACGCAACATCTTTTCGTCCAAAATACCTCAATGCCTGAAGACTAGAGTGTATAACCAATGTGTGTTACCAGTGATAACTAATGGCTCGGAAACGTGGCCTCTCACTATAGGCCGTATACAGAAGCTCAGTTGCACAGCGTGCTATGGAGAGGGCTATACTTGGTGTTTCTTTGCGAGATCGAATCAGAAATGAGGAGATCCGTAAACGAACCAAAGTCGCTGACATAGCCCAACGGATTAGCAAGCTGAAGTAGCAATGGGCAGGGCACATAGTACGCAGAACTGATGGCCGATGGGACAGAATGGTTCTGGAATGGAGGCCGCGTACCGGAAAACGTAGCGTGGGACTTCCACCTACAAGGTGGACCGACGACATCGTAAAGGTAGCAGGGAAGCGCCGGACGCAGGCCGCTTCCAATCGATCAACATGAAAGGCCTCCCCAAGGCCTATGTTCAGCAGTGGACGTCCTATGGCTGAAATGGTGGTGGTGGTGGTGGTGGTACATATACTGAAAATGTATCATTAGAAATCAACCACGGGGGCTAAGGAGATAAAAGGAGGGTTGGAAGTTTATATTATGAAAGTCCTATGTGTTTAAAGTAAGAGAGTTGAAATTTAAAATGTATGCGCTATAGATGCTAAGAGCGGATTTTACGAAACTCTACCCCTAATGGAGTAAAACGAGGTCCACGCGTACGAAGTCGCGGGCGGCCGCTAGTTTTACATAAAGCACGATGTTGTTTCATGAAAGGCTCCATAGTGATTAAAAATTCATGAAATTATTCACAGTTTCCCATCACCCACGCACATAATCTCTACCTTGATTGAACCGTTTTTCGAGATACATAAGTATTATCAAGTGTTGCTATTTGCAAAAAATTTTGGCCCACCTTGTATTTTTGGCAAACATTTTGCTGCAGACCCCGATCATTCCATGTGTGTGTCATTTCATTTGTCTTTTTGTTTTCAACGGAAAAAAAAATAGACGCCAATTCAAAATGCCACGGATTTTGCTTAATTAATTAGCGATTCAGCTAAAGTTCGCGTCGCTCTTTCACCTGGAGGACGTCTTAATTGCGACCTTTTCGTTTACATAAGTCCACTTACGTAAAGGTCGCTGCAAAAAGTTCGACATTTGAGTTCGGTGTGGTACTGTCTAATGCTGCCTGTTTTCCGAGAGCATCGCGGCGTGAGCTGCCACGTGGTGGCGCTCACGTTGCGCCCCACGAGTCGAGTTATGCAAACGTTTTGAGTGTGACGTAACATCCGATAACACCGGCCATTTTCTTTGATTGATCGTCGACAATTAATTAATATGAACTTTGGGAAGGTTGCAAGTCATGGTGTCCGCAGTGTTAGCGACGTCGACCAAGGAAATACGCTAACTTATTAATTAGAATTGATTAGCAACGTTAACAGTCATAAAATGTTGTAAAATAATCAATTAGAGTCGACTAGATATAAATAACATTCCATCTCTTTCTCACATTATCTCTCATCTCGCTTGCACATCAAATACTCTTCCACACACTTCTGGAATATTCGAGAGAAAAAGAAACGGGACGGCAACATCGGACCTCTCGCTTCGAACATTCCAGAACTATGGTCCAGAACATGAGAGACAGAGACAGGAATATCGGGAGAGAAAGGGATGGATATAGCCCGGGGCCCTATAAATACCGAGCGAGGCGCTCCGGGAGACAAGTTTATTTGAAGTTAAGTTTATTTGTATTGTTTTGTTCAGTTCAGAGAACAAGTGCTCCAAGCAACAAGTGATCTGAAGAAGCAAGAACTGAGAAAAGGAAGCGAATAATAAACGCGAGAAGTCTCAGCAAGTGAAATAGTGGTTTTATTCCTGCAAGTAGCACCTACTACGCCTGACATAGTAAGGGCAAGCTCTCAACGGCAGTCATCATCGTCCGGTCAGCGCTCTCGAACACACACAAACGCATACAGTCCACTGCAGTCCACCACATTTTCCTGGTCCTTCGAGCCGGATCACCACATTTTCCTGGTCCTTCGAGTAGCCGGATTACGGGAATAGCGAAGATGCCTGTCACCAGGTCGGAGAAGCTACGAGGTGCCGCCGCCGCGGCTAGCGCCGCCGCCGCAGGGAGAATTACGTCGCCGCCGGTTCATGGAGGAAGTACTCCGACGGAAACCACGGATACTTCATCAACGCTGACCCCGTATCCCGCCGGGGGCGCGTCCTCACCGCGCATCGCCAGGGACCACGCCGCGCCGGCTGTTAGCACCCGGGTTATGGGAGAGCCCGGCGTGCATTTGGGAAGAGGGGAACCAGCACCGCGCTCCTACACAGAGGAGATAACCGCCGACGTCACGAAGCCACACGAAGCACTAAGGGCCCGTATCGCGGAAGCAGAGAAGAGACGTGCCGCCGCCGCCGCNTCTGAGAAAAAATCAAATAGGTAAATTATACATTATTTCTTTATTATTATGTATGATGTACTGTCTTAGGTACGATACAACTACGGATTAAGATCGTTTAGTCGACGCAGCGTTGAAATTGTACAGATAAATGCAGTTTGCGCACTCACTACGCGACGTCAAGCAATAAAAACCTAAAATTCTAACGCCAACTTTTTGCTACAACGCTCTTAACTTTCATAACATCGCTCAAAGATATCATGCGATTTTAAATCTTAATACAATGACTTGAAAGGTCAGTTTGTAACACTACAAATGATAGTACAGAGCCATCTGGTGTTGAAGTTATGATAATCGCTTGAATCGAACTGAGGGCCTTCTATGTGTTATTAAAGCTTTATTTAACCCTTAATACATAAAAATTGAAACAGCGAATAGTTTGATTCGACATTTATTCATTAACTATCAAAACATTCGCAACTATTTATGTCTAATAACAATATATACAACGAAAATAAATTCGAAACAGAGTTGCAACGGAAATCGACGCAAGCGCGTATTGCAAAAACTGAGTTACGAAAATCCTATCGACAACATGGCTCGATACGACATCCGTCACAGCTCTGGGTCTCCGCTAGGCTCTATTCGTCTCGATCACTCATTAGGAAAGGGAGTGAGACGGACAGAGCTCAGTATACACAGGTTGAATGGAATCGTATATCGTAAAATTCATTGAATGTATCTAAAACCACGATTTTTAATGCATCCTGTATAAAAATAGTTATGCGGCGTAGACATGTCATATTGACAACCAAAAATATACATAGGAACATCAAAATACATATTTTCCACCTAAAAATAACAATGCATGGTCCAATTTCGAATGTATAAAAAGAAGTAGAAAATATTGTACAAATGACTGGCTTATAATTGGCAAGTGGCATTATTTACATAAATAACAATACATTATCTAAACAATTAGGATTATAATAATCTGCTGGATGTCAACTTAAATAGATTGCACTACTTACTGGGTTTTTATGTACAAATATATAAATAGATGCGAGCCAAATCAGTATGTTATTCTCAATGTGTGATGCTTATTAATTCCATTTAGGATAAAAAAAACAGTACATAGTACATTTACAAGTCATATGGCGCTTAGAATATTATGATATATCATAAGATAAAATAATATGTAGAGCAGTATTGGCTACAATAAAATGGCAGTAACTTACTTTACGAATTTTAAGTAGATACACAAAATAATATAAGAAGAAATACATTAAGTATTGCCAATAATACTGGAAGATGAACTATGATATGACTCGACAACAGCAACATTTAGGTACGGACGACAACACATCGAACAAAACACTGTGTAGTTAACACTTATGTAAAGGTACGATTTTGCAACAAAAATATAATTTCGATTTGCTGTCGACTGTACTTTATGATAGTATGGCTATAATGTATATTTTTTCTTTTTATTACATTAATAAATATATGAACAGTATAATTTATATGCATATAAAACCAATAATATTCATATAAAAACTACATACAACGGCTCATAGAATTTAGAGTAGATTTTATGTGTCCAATACTTTATATGGCATATTTTATCTAAGAATATTTTATAAATAACATTTATTATGATATGACACTACATTCTGATCTTAATAATAAATAGTTTTCATGACTTTTGGACTAAAGCTTACAATTTCACTTACACATTGAGTTGAAACATCGCCGCCGAACCCGGCTATATCAATAATTTAACAACCGTATATTACACGATATAAATAAATAATAATTAAACCTACCACAGAGCTAGACAGCGTAATTCTAATTCGACGTCTCCACATCATGGGATAAAAGTTCTTTGGTACAGAAAAACTAAATTATTGCTCACGAAGCGCATTTCTTTTGTGACACCAAAGAAAACAGACTCCAAGTCTCAATGTAAAAAAAGTTCTTAACTCAGTCCGGGTTTACTTTTTGTCGTCGGCGTTTGTTTCGGCGGGCGGCTCCGCGCCTAAGATAAGCTGTATCTCATCGACGCTCTTGCCTTTGGTTTCTGGCACGACGAAGAAGATGAATAAGAAAGCCAGCACCATGACGCCGGCAAAAAGCCAGAACACCTGCCCGGATCCGATGGCGTTGTTCAGAGAGATGAAAGTACTCGTCACGGTAAAGCTCAGAAGCCAATTCAGAGTTCCAGCAGTCGAGCCAACGAAAGACTTGATGTCAATGAGGCACAGTTCACCCGCCATCATCCACGGGATCGGCCCGAAGCCCAGCGAGAATGCGATGATGAATAGCGACAGCGACACCAGAGGAAGCCATGATATCGCCAGCACAATCGACGATTCATCACCATGGGTGTCTTTCAGGAAGAAGAACACTCCGAGAGCGGTCGAGCACACACACATCACTAAAGCAGACAGCAGTAAAAGAATACGCCTGCCGAGTTTGTCCACAATAAGACTTGAAACGAATGTAGCGATGACTTGAATGACTCCGATGATGATGGTTGAAATGGCGGCTGGAATGGCAGCGCCGGCAGACGCGAAGATTGTCGACGTGTTGAAAATGACCGCGTTGATTCCTGATAGTTGCTGGAACAGCATCAGAGCATAGCAGATCATGATGGCTCGAAGAGCGTTCTTCTTTGTGATGGCAGATGTGAACGAGACCGGATTGTTCCTCGCTTCTTCAGCTTTCCTCTTAAGCCCATCAAGTTCTCCATCCACGTCATATGCTCGTCCCCTCAAACGAACTAACGCCTCACGAGCTTCGTCATTCCTGCCTTTGACGACCAAGTAGTTCGGGCTCTCCGGCATGAAGAAGAATACCATGAAGAATACAATCGGAACCAACGTACAGAGGATATTGAACACGAACACAGATGTGTAGCTGCCGACGGCGTACGCGAATAGGATACCGACTGTGATCATGAGCTGGAAGTAGCTTCCTAAGGTACCACGGATGGAGTCTTGGGCTATTTCGCTGGTGTAGGCAGGCGCTGTGACGCAGAAAGCACCGCCAGCGATTCCTGTGATTAATCTACCAGCGATGAGCATCGCAAGGCTTGTTGCGAAGGTAATCAATAGCCAGCCGAGTGTGAAAGGGATCACAAGACACAGCATAGTTTTCTTCCTGCCTATAGCGTCCATGATAAGTCCGATTGGGAAGCAGACGGCAGCGGCTCCGAGGTTGATGACGGAGGCCACCCACGCGCCTTCAGCTTCGGACACGGGGAAAGAATAATCGGTGCTGTTCTTCTGGCTGATGGTGAAGATGACCGGCGACGACCAGCCCAGCATAGAACCGGCGGCTAGGGCGCCGAGCGTAGCTGGAATGGACAAAATAATACTGTTATTTTTGAGGCAAAAAGTATAAAAAATATTATTGTTTTTTAGTAAAGACAAAGAGGCTAAAAAATCATAATAAGGGAAAAAGTCGTCTATTTTAAGAGCTTGACAATAACAAGAATTAAGATTCAAGCCTAAAAGTAGTGTGTATTTTAGAAAAAAGCATTCATGTCCCCAGTAATATACCTGGCTGTCTGTGTTTGTCTATCTAGTCCCAAATAAGGCCAAGCTTGTACCCATAGCTCCTAAATTAACGAGCATGTGCTGTGAGGCTGACAATGTAATTTTTCCCAAGGGATATCTTTAAAAACTCATAGAACTCATTTATTTATGCAAGTAGTCTTTTAAAAAGCATTTTTACACGTCCCAGTATTAACCCTGCCACTGCTTCAGGACAATAAATGGGCCAGTGCTGAGAAGAAGCAGCGCAAGAAACTCAGTCACTATTGTCAGCTTTTATAATTATAACTCATAAATAACGATTAATAAAACGCACCTGCAAGGGCTGCGATGTACTGCGGCAGCTTGCGGCCGTCGCCGCCGCGGGGCTCCACCAGCACCGTCTGAGAGATGCCCACCTCGGCCATGCCGTTGCCTTCTCGCTGGAATGGAACAAATAAAAACTGTTAATTATACTATTAAACCAATTTTCAAGTACACCAGCAGGCAGGTTTGACGCAGAATGTATGCTTTCTAAACTTTTTATACTATTTCAATATAAACAAACTTTTCAGTCCTTACATTAATTTATTATCTATAGAAAAGTCCACATTTTGCAAAGTGCACATTCTGCATCAGAACCCATCAGGTAAATCTAGTGACTTCCTTCCAAATGAACATCCTGGGTCCTGGACATTAAAGCAATATGATGCCCTATTTCAAAGTAAAGGAATGACAAAAAAAAAACACTCATATCTGTAATAAATCTTAAGTAAGCATTCAAATCTCATTGAAGGTGTAATTTATTTTATTTTACTAAAACTAAGGATAATCAGACATTCAGTATCAAATAACAGATCAGCTGTTGATTAGCTAACAAAATCAGAGAGCATGCATTTCCTATTTCTGTAAGAAACATGACACCTATACAATCACTACACACCTATGTAGGTAGACATAGGATATGAACCTGCTTATTATGGAAATGCATTTAATGTTTCTGTTTTCAAAGCGAAAACTAAACAGTATTTTTTTTGTTCAATGACACATGGAAAACTGTTTTTATCTCCAGCTTGACAATGATGAATGTAAAGGAATTAGCACAAATTCATCATTTGTTCATTCATTTTGTTTTGTTTTTAATTTACTTATTGCAGTTTTATTGAAGTAACTTACTAAATACCTGATGTGTGTACTCCTACATATTTTATTATTTCTTTGTATTCTTAAATGATAACAAAGTGAATGTGTTTGGTTATCAGGCAGGTGTTATCTAAAATACTGTATCTCTTAAAAAGGACGAAGCGAAAAATGGAAAGTTTACATAACATTAAAGATAGAAAGTACGAAAACATTTCTATTTAAGAGATAACAATGAGAAAACTGTATTTACTAGAACTTCGCTCTTGGCTACTGACTAATGATTCAATTTTTTTGCGTTAGTTCAGCTAAGCTGACAAGGCCAACTCTGTTTGCGAATAATATACAATCTACTATTGTATTTTACCT